ACAGAGTAGCACAGTCTCTTTCTTTCTTAAGCTCTCTTTCTGGAAGATCATCTGGAAGTACTTTCCTCTGAGACCTGGCCATAGTCATCAAGTTTGATTTGCTGTGAGGGATGAATGTATAGTTTATCAAAGAAGTATTGGGTTCCAAGTGCAAGGACTACCAGCCTCACTCCAGAGACAAGTAAGGGCCTGAGGATGAATTTCATCATTTAATTCAGGCTGAAGGGTAAGGAAGAAGAAATCTCTGTTACTCCTTTAGAAAAACTGAAAATTGACTCCATCATCTTGATGGGAATGGTCAGTTAATAAAGGACATAGTCTTTCTGATATTTTAAGGAATCTGTTATAAAGTCTGAAATCGATAATCAATACAATCTAGAGTTCTACATTCTTCATCCCTGGAAATCTTTGGGAATAGAGTAGCCATACAAGTGTTTGTATGATACCAGAAAAGGGCTGACAAGCGTGACACTATAGACAGGATATTTGTGTCCCCCGACCCCAAATTCATATGTTGAAACCTAATTCCCAATGTAATTGTATTAGGTGGTGGGGCTTTGAGGGGTAATTAATTCATGAAGGTGGAGCCCTCATGAATGGGATTAGTGCCCTTATAAAAGATACTCCTGAGAGTTCTCTTGCCTTTGCCAGATGAAAAAATAGCAAGGGTATGACTATGGATGAACCGGAAGTGGGCCCTCACCAGAACCAAATCTGTTGGCACCTTGATCTTGGACTTCCTAGCTTCCAGAACTGTGAGAAATAAATTTCTGTTGCTTATAAGCCGCCCAGTCTATGGTATTTTGTTACAACAGCACAACTGGATTGAAACCTGTGAATAACCTTTTGGGGGTCGTGGGAAGTTATCAAGACTGGATCCAGGCAAATGATAAAGCAGGTGGTTTGTTTCTGAATCTTGCTTGCTCATTCCTGTCTTCTCTTCTCTCCTTAGACCTCTCTGCTCAGTTCCCACAATCTGTCTCAATGCCTGATTATCTCCAATAAGGCATTAAGTCAGGAGTCTGTAAAATAATCTCTAAGTCCCAATACCATGAAAGTTTTGATAGTCTAAGCACATCCAGTGTTCAGGACAGTGTTTTTGTAGGAAATAGCAGTAATCACTTCTGGTAAAGGATCCAGAAAGATTTGAATCTAGAATTCAGAATACATGTCAGTATATATGTTCAAGTTCCCACTGGGATAGTCTAATACCAAGCTGGCTTTTTGGCACACAGAAAAATCCTGAACAAACTCGACTTTGCTTCCACCACTCCAGAAACTTGGAATGGTTGAAGTCAAGTCCTAAGAGGAAAGATGCAGACCAGAGAAGACTCAGTAGCCAGGATCCAGCAAGGATCCAAGTTGATCATGAAAACTCTGGCCCAACTCCAGTTCCCCCTAAATCAATGTTATCATGTTTGGGTTAATTTGGACTCCTTCCCTTGGACACATCAGGCTACCTAATAATTTCCTTCCCAAGGCACAAGTCCTCCTAGGACATCTCCTGCCAAGAGTAGATCTCCTTGGCTGTCCCTTACCCTCATTAATTAGCATTGGAAAAGAGAAGGAAAGAGAAATTTGTTAAGACATTCACCCCATGGAAATTCCTCCAAACATTTTATTTTTGTCTTTTATTTTTAGCAATGACATCAGTTGGGTTGGATTTGGTTTCTAATGAATCAATTCCATTCACATCGCCCTCTATTAAATATGCCGAGCAGATTTTACACCACAGATCTACTACTTTTAATAAGATTTAATAAGCTTATCCTTAGATCTTCAAGGATTTATAGATATTCAGCAGAGTGGGAAAGGGCTGCCTTATTTGTTGACTATATATTTAAAGAACAGATTTTGGAGATACTATTGAAGTAACACGTGTCTTCCCTCTTCAAAACGCTCACACTTGTTTTTCATACATGTGGACATCACAAAAGAGCTTTCTCCAGCCCTAAGCTCTTGAAAATTGGAAAGTGTTACACAGAGTGGTAACTACAGCTCCCCAGAGCCCTGTCTTTTTAGATCGGAGCCATGTGTTATGATAAAGAAATAATCCCTAAAGTGCTTGCTTCTGGCAAAGATATAACAATCTAGATGTACAGATTCATAACGCCTACAGGAAAGAATTCAGAAGAAGAAAAATGAATCCACATCTTGGCATGAAAAAGGGAAAGGCACGTTAACAACAGAAATTACAAATGTGAAGAGGATATGGGGGTGACTTGACTCAGAGCTGGAGAGAAAAAATAACTGGAGATTTAAATACCAGTAGTTGGGTCTAAAGCCAAGAAAAAAAAAAAAAAAGAGATGAACTCACAGATACCAGGAGTATTAAATAACCAGATGTTATGAGACTGTCATCATACAAAGGTCCCTGCTTATTTTGAACCTCAGTCCTGTGGAATAAGCTGTTGTTCCTGGACTTAATCTACTTTGTGCAGAGCTTTCTATGAGATAAAGCCGGGCATCCCAAGTGTATTCTGAGGTAACAAAAACCCAGTTATTTTAAGCCCCTGAATTTAGTGTGACTGAAGTCGTTTGCCAAAACTAATATTTGTAGCCTCATACTTACCATTTATAGAAAAAGCCAACCCATGGAGATGAATGAATGTGCGGCAATTGCCCTGCAGAATCACCTTGATGGAATCAGGGCTGAATGCTAGCCACTTAGATTTCACCAAAGGTAGATATAAAAAATTGCCCTATCTAGAAAAATTATTATTTTTCAACTCCTATCACGGACATCATTCAATGTCTTTAAACAAGGAAATCCTTGACAAATTCCCTCCAGAACCAAGTGCTGGGAAAAGGTTTCTTCTTTCTGATGAACTGAACTGTTTCCTAAAATTACACAAAGAACTCTGCAACCAGCCATCTTCTACTTTTTTTAAGTTGATGGAGGGATCAGAAGTAAGTTTTATGTTTGAAGGCTAGCGTTCCTCTCAGAATTTATTGCTATCGTTTCTTCTCTTTCCACTTTTACTTTTTCATTCATTTTGGTTCTTAAAAACTTTTATTACAATCTTTTTTTTTCTGAAGTGGGTGGCATATAAAAAAAGTGCAATTAATTCAGAGATTTAAAATGTGCCTCTTGAGACTCATGGACATAGAGGTTACATATAGACTAGTGGTTACTAATGGAGTGGGGGAGGAGTGGGGAGGGAGACGGGGTAAAGGGGGTCAAATATATGGTAGCTGAAGGAAACTGGACTTTGAGTGGTAAACACACAATAGGATATACAGATGTCAAATTACAATTTTATTAACCAATGTTTATAATTGTATTAACCAATGTTACCCCAATAAACTTAATAAAAAATAAAATAAAATAAAATAAAATAAAATAAAATGTACCTCTTGAGACACGTGTTTCCAAATGGCACTGCGTTCCCCTGGCAGAATATTTGTTTCCTCCCTCTCCATTATTTATTTACACGAGGTGAGAAAGGACAAGAAAGCAGAGGACAGCAAATCCAGGGTGGAGAGTTTGCCCGGAAAATTCCCAGGAACAAACAATTGACAAAATAATAGCCTCTGAAACTAAGATAGGTCCTAGGGAGCATTACGATTCCATGTTTAAAGACTGACTCTCTTGTGAAAACCTAGTTGGAAGCTGGTTTCAGCCAGTTCTTTTCTGAATGTTCAAGAGATAATTGAAATAAGAAGTGTGCCCCACAGGTGCTGACTTCACCACTGATGCATGGAAATGTGTGTACCTGTAGTCCTGGCAGGAAGGCGGGACTTGCCAAAGGACTCCCATTAACAGGCAGAAGGGGACCTGGGAGATTTCCCCTTCCTGGTTGCTAGCCACATTCCCAGATTTCTAAGACATTCATTAAAAACTGTGCATTTGTTTTAAATTGTCCATAACTATGAACAAGGTTTTAGAAACTTATTAGTTCACGAGTTGGAAGATTAGCCTTTAGATAAACATACCAGGGTCTTGGGGCCGTTTCCCTTCAAATGAGTAATTGTTGAGTTTGTGTGTGTATCCTTTTGAGGAGGAAAGCTCTGGTGTTTCCTAATTTTCTCTGCATTTTTAAAGGCATGGTAACAAATACTGACCACAGTAGCTAGTAGGTGCCAACGAGTGCGTTAAAGGTATGAGTTTTGAAAAATGCAACCATGCCGAGAACAGCAGAGATCATACTCGACGAGAGTGAAAACACTGGCGTTCTATTTGCGCACTCTGCCACTGTCTGGTACAGTGGGTACAGTGGGCTGTTTGCCAACTGGCATCCCATCCATTCTTCTCCTTTCCCTGCCCAGGGAGGCCGATCCTGCCCACTGCATGACCCAAGCCCCCTTACTGCCTGGTACTCCACTGGTCTTGGCCTGGAGATGAGGCTTCTCCTTCTTCTTCTTCTTTTTTTTTTCCTCCTAACCCTGGCCACATCTTTCTAAGCAGTCCCCTGCTAAGGTTTTGGCATTTGAACCCCCTGGAGTGGATTCTGTTTTCAATCAGGCCTCTGACGGATACAAATGGTAACCAGCTTTAGCAAACTAGAAATGGTTTGGAGCAGTAGGGTTGAATTTCGAATCTGTGGGATCACACCAGCCCTGTCTGGATTCTTCCTGAGACTGCAAGGTGGGGAGAAAAGCAAGGAAGTTCAGTTGGTACTGACAAGGCCGGGCCCTAGCGGCCTCCTGTTCTACCTCATGAGACGTATGAGACCAAGGACACTTCAAGGGGCCTAGTTGCTGCTTCACAGGCTTCTATTCAATTTTATCCACCAAAGATAGTGATGTACTTGGGCACTTTGCTCATGACTCAATTAAAATTTTTTTTTAAATGGAGTTTTTGGTTTTTGAATAGGCATTTGACAGGAGGATAAAGAGATATCATAATGGAGTAGTAAGGCCAGAGTCCAGGCTTCATTCATTTGGCAGAACCGTCCTTGCAGGACCTTGCACTGAGCTTGAAAGGTAAATAATTATGGGAGAAAACTGGAAGCACTTGGCGACGACGGGAGCCTAAGTGGGCAATGACAGCCTCAGTCTTTCATATTTATATATTTTTTATATATATTACATCCACATACGACAGTCATTTGTACCATTTCCCAGGGAGACACAAATGTTTCCGAGACAAGGCAGGGCATGGGGGTCAAGGTGGAGTGAGGAACGGAAGTAGGCGGCTAAAGTGCAGGCTGGGGGCTTTGCTCACAGAAGCTGCAGGAGCTTCAGTGACTGTAAGAGGGCTCCGGGTTCTGCGGATGCCAGATACTGGCAGCAAAGCCAGTCCTCCAGCTCGACCCCGCGCCTGCGGTCCACCGCCTTCTCAGCAAACTTCATCATCATCAGGGCCCGCTTCATGTCGATCCAGTTATGCAGCGTGCTGCACAGCGCCTCCTCCGAGGTGCCTCGCTGCTCCACCAGCTCCCGCCGCGGCCCCCACAGCAGGCACTGTAGCACCCGCTTGGCCTCGCCAATGCGTATGCGCTTGATGGGGTCAGCCTCCAGCAGCAGATGGGCGAGCTGCTGCAGGCCAGGTGAGTAGAGGGACAGGGTGGGCAGGGGGGGCAGGTCTTCCTGTCGGTAGTCCTTCTCCCGCAGCTGGGCCCGCACCTCGAATGGGTTGGGCTGGTGGAGGAGCTCGTAGATGAGGATGCCTGTTTGGAACTCATCAAACTTACTGTACTGGGAGGCAGACACGATTTCGGGGGCCAGCCGGGCCTGGTTCTTTTTCTGCTGCAGGTTGGTGGTGCCACCTGGCTTCTGCTTGGCCTTCAGGAAGTTGCTGATGATGAGCCGGGGCAAGTGCTTCTCACTGGGCACTCTCTGACAGGCGGGGGCAGCTGGGGCACTGGGGGTCGCACCGACTGGGAGGGTGGCAGAGGGGCAAGGGCAGGGAGTAGCGGCGGGGGAAGGGGATGTGGCGGTGGGAGGCACACTGGAGGTAGTAGAGGCGACAGGGGTTGTGGAGGTGGCAGGGGAAGGGCTGGGGGTGGCCTGTGGGGTGCAGTGCACCAGCAGCAGGTTCTCCAGGCACAGGTCTCGGTGGATGACCCTGTGCTCCTTCAGATGCTCCAGCCCATTGCAGAGCTGCAGAAGGAGGAAGCACACGCGCCGCTCGTAAACTTCGGGCTCAGACTGATGGCTGGTGGCCGAGTCCCGCACAAAGTCAGAGGCAGTCTGGTGGGGCACCTCTCGGGTGATGACCACCACGCAGTCTTGCTCCTGGGCAGGGGGGTGAGAGGGCAGGGCAGGCAGAGGGTCCTTGGGCGTGTCAGGAGAGGTGAGCATGCTGGAGGGCACTGAGGCCACAAAGTGGCCGCAGTCCTGCTGGATGTTGAAGTGCACGGGCACAGAAGGGCTGCAGTATGAGGCCGTTTTGGGCTCAGGGGTTTTGCAGATCTGTGGAGAAAAGGGGAAGTGAGGTCAAGAGTGGGATCCATCATTCTGTTCAACGAATGGTGCTGGGACGTTTGGAACCCCCATTCGAAAAGGTGAACTGAAACCCTTACCTCACACCATACACACAAATTAACTCAAAGCAGATCACACGGACTTAGGGGAAAGGGCCCAAACATACAAATTTTAGAAGTAAGCATAAGAAAGAATATTTGAGACTGTGAGTTGAGCAAAGATTTCTCAGCTACCACACCAAAAGCGTGGTCCATAAAAGTAAGAATTAATAAACTTGACCCCATCAAAATTCAAAACGTTTATGCTTCAAAAGATACTTTTAAGAAAACAGAAAGACAAGTAAAAGACTGGAAGAAAATATGTCCAAAACATATCCGATAAATGATTTGTATCCACAATTTACAAAAAAACTCTTAAAACTCCGTAGTAAGATAAACTTCCCAATCAAAAAGTGGGCCGAAGATATTAATAAGCATTTCACCAAATAAATATGTAAATAACCGCAAGCACATAAAAAGGTGTTCAACATCATGAGTCATTAGGGAAATGCAAATCAAAGTTACAACGATACCAGCTGACACCCACTAGAACGGCTATGAGACGAATGATAGGCAGTAACAAATGTCTACAAGGATGTGAAGAAAGAGAAACTCACGTATTGCTGGTGAAAAGTAAAATGGTGCAGTCCTTTTGGAACACAGTTTGGCAATTTCTTAAAAAGTTAAAGAGTGGGGTCCCTGCAGAGCAACGTGTAGTGTGGCCACTGGTGTTGGGAGGAAGACATCCTGCTGCACACGGTATGGGCTGGACAAATTCTCAGAAAGCCAGATCAGAGCTGACACAGCGGTCAGCTTTGCTCCTCACCCCTCACACGTGAATCGGCAGCTTCCTGACAGCAGATGGGCTTGGCTGCTGGGGTGTTTCCTTCTTGGGGAACCCAAGAGGCAGATGCAGGCCGTAAACCTCTAGGCCTTGGCCACATTTTCTTAGGCTGCCCTAGTTTCTAGATCCAGGTAAATATGCAATGCCTACTAGGTGGCATAACCCACAGGGCTGATTTTAGTGGAACTGTTATGTGAAAGCCACACACTTTTCCTCCAGGGGTGAGTCAGAGCAGCTGAAAGAAAACAGAAAGCTCTTCAGGGACAGGGGACCCAAAGGGCCAAGGTACCCTCAGAACTGAAGACAGAAATAAAAAAGCAGATGATCTGGAGCTCCTCTGGGGAATCCCTACAACCATCTCTCTCCCGCCTTCTCAACACGTACTAACGACAGCGCCAGCCCCTGAGGATCTTAGCAACGCTAATCCTCATCTGGCCTGCCACACAACTGGAGGGCCTCGAGCCAGACATCATGGGCTTCAATTTCCCTGTAATTATAGAAAGAGACTGAAGATGGTCTGTGGTCTCCTCTCTCAAAAGGATATTGTGTAACCTCAGCCATGCTTTACAGAAAGGTAAGGATCAGAGTGTAATCCTCAGAAGAAAGGCATCTTGCATCTACCGAGAAAACATCATCCTGCAAACAATCCCAAAATAACCCTTAGGGCTGCCGCGTGGCCACACTCAGATGATTATAGCAGCGTTCATGAAGCGCCACAATGCTTGCAGGTGCTGTTTTTAGAAGTTCTATTGCAAGCACTTTTTTAGGGAGGTTTATTTATATTGCAGCTATACAAACCTCTCAGCATGAAACCTGGGATAAAAGAGTTCAGCCTCTGAGGAAACTTTTATCAAGATAATTGGGGGTCGGGAGGAGGTAACACATTAATCTAGTAATCTCTCTATTATAGAAGTAGAACAGAAATAAAAGAGAAGTACATTTATCCCAGACATTGGTTGCCATTACACTAACAGAAATGATTCTGGAATACATATTTAAGGGCATTGTTGCAGGCTCTTTCTTATTTTAGCCCAAGCAACTGTCCTCAGCTTTTTTAATGACAGGCTTCTGGAACACCATTCACCTACAAGAAATTTGGAGGAATCCTCAAAAATTAATCTTGTATATAAATACCAACCACTGTGCATGAACCTGTCTGCTGTGCCATCTATGGATATGTGGGAAAAGCATTACTGGTGTTGGGGTCACTCCCTCCGAGTGAGGGCTTCTCAACCATAGGAGACATCTGCTGAGCTCCTGTGCACCTACTCAGCGTTTTTCAAGCAATGTCTCACTTAATCTCAAACAACCCGAAGAGGCAGATGCTGTCACAGAGGAGGAATCTTCAAGAGGTTAAATTATTTGCCCATTATGCAACTGAGAAGTATTCTAGAGGTCAAACTATGGGCTTTGGAGTGAAAAAGATTTTGGTTTAAATACAAACTCTGCAAATACTGGCAAGTTACAATTGATTCTTGATATTTGTGGGAGTTATGTTCTATTAGGCAGCCGCAACCACTGAATTAGTGTATACTGATCTGCTGCTCCTAGGGGAAATACAATGTGATGTTCTTGCAAGCCTCTAGTTACATTTTTATCAACTGGCCAATATATAACCTTGTCTTATGTGTGTTTCTGTTTAAAGATGCCTTATTAATAGATAATGTTGATTCATTAATACTGAAGTCATGGCTGTCAGCACTCTAACTCATGCCAGAACGAAGCTTATCTAATACTCTCCCAAAGGCACGTCACAGCCTTCTTGCACTTAGGAAGACTGAACAGGACTCCAGTGCTCACCTTGGCCATGTACGCAGCAAAGGCGTACATTCTTCACAAAAATGTGAAGAATGAGGCACTAAATAGACCACAGAAAGGACACTGTTGACAATCTATAGAGCTGAAACAAGAAGGCAGAGTGCTTTCTTTATATAGTTCCGCCCCAGCTGGCATGTCCGGTGACTCAAATTTCCCCCCACTCTATGCAAGTCCAAGAATGACCACAAAAATGCCACAAGTATTGATTTGAGGTTACAAATAGATTTTAGCAGCGAATCAACAAATACAGAATCCATGAGTAATGAGGATCGACTGTATTTATCTCAGTCAGATTTTCCCTCTGTACATCCAGGGCAATGACAGCTTCTTCCTCACAGGGCCATTGTCAGCATTAAATGACATAACGCAGGTGTGGCTTTCAGAACAGTGCCTAGCCCCGGTGAGCAGTCACTGGGAAAGGTTGCTATGGTGATTGCTCTGGCAGATTTGGCTACAGCCATGCTTGGTGCTGCTGGATTGCAAGTTATCATACCAGCCCTTACTGTGCAGCTGCCCAGGGCCTGGGAAGTGTTTCCAAGGATCCCTTTTCTCAAGGATATCAAAGGCCTGGGTTCAGCAAACACTCCCAGCAAAGCTCCAGAGGAGCTGCTGACAGTTTGCACAGAGATGTAAATGAAGGAGCAGAATAAATGGTAACTGGGCTGGATGTGGTTCAAAATCAGTGAGTGGGTGCTCTAGCGGGACCCATAGCTTCCTCACCACCTGTTTGCACAGGGATGGGGAATGGGAGGCTTCCTCTCCATTCTCATCGCCCCTCTCCACCCCACCCCCCCATTTCATTTTTGGGGGTCTATGCTTGGGTTTTGGCTCAATACCGTCACGTAATTTCAAATGTTTTGTTGAGCCATGTCTCGTTTTAAACTTTGTGGTCATGGCCTCACATTCATGGTTGAAAATCAGGGCTAAGTCATGTCTGTTAAATAAAAAAAAGGTCCAGCTGCCTTAACATAGGTCCCTAATTACCCAACTGCAGTTCTAGTTGGCTGAGGCATGAAAGGGCTTTGAAACCTCACAGGCAGCTGATGACCTTTTTCTGCTTCATATTCATGGTGCAGGGCTCCAGAGCCGGCTTCCTGTCCTTGCTGCTGCAGGGCGCTGAGCCCGCAAACCGGACTGGCATGAGGGGCAGCAGGTGCGGGCCTGAGCGAGTTAATGGAGACTCGTAACCAAGGCTCCTGTTTACCAGGCGCAGATGAAATGAGTTCAGCAACAGACAGGCAGTGGGAAGGGGGACCCGCTCCCCACCCCCTCGCGGATTCCAGATGACTGTACTCAGTCTAGACTGCGCAGCTAATGAAGTGGAAATACTGCACGTGCAAAATGATGCTCCGCACGCCGTCCCCCCCTTTACCAGGCACATTTGCAAATTGATATTATTGTTCCCCAGACTCTGAACACTGCAAGCTCTTCTCCAAATTTCCTTTTCACACGGTACAGAGATAGTCCTTGAGCTGCCAAGCCTCTGGCAAAAAGTCAGATAGGAGACCCGTGGGCCTCTCTTCCTGAGAGGACACGGCCTGTCTTCCAGTTTCCTATGGATTACAAGCCTACTGAAATAAGAAGTGATGCTTGTTTTTGACATTTTCTGGGGAAGCTAAATTTTCTGCACTGTTCGTCAGAGAATGTGCCTAATTCTACACTTTACAAGAGGTCCTAGAATGCAAGCTGAGTGTCACAATCATTTATGGATTTAAAAACCAAAACCCCTATCCCCCAAGATTCCGATCCAGTGGCAGATCTCCCACCAGGTGGCCCTTTAGTTCTTGGCAGGAGAGCCATATCACTATTACCCCATGGGAAAGAGGGATTAAGCCTCTTTCACCAGGCTCTTTTCCTCTCATAATGGAGATGTGAGCTGTCTCTTGTCACTGAATTAGCCCCAAGGCCCAGCCCAGGAGACCAGTGAGAGTGACTGACACACTTGAACACAGGAAGGTGGAAGCAGAGGGATGACTCACAGCTCACTTTCTTAGGTTCACTGGGGCCACTGAAAATTAAGTACTTCCTCAAGGTACTGCCATCCCTTTGGCTTTCAAAGATCTCAAAACTACATCCCTTTCATTGGCAGGATAAAGACCCCTGGCTCTGGGCCGACAGCGATAACAGACTAATCATGTTCGGCTCACTGAAGGGTCCACTCAGTTCTTCCTCTAGTTCAAGGCAACACAGCTGTTTAATCTTTGACCCTAAATCGGGGCTTTTGCTGCCACACCCCACTGCTCGCTCAGGTGTAGCTCTGAGCAAGCTGGCTGAGCATCTGCACCCATGTGGCCACTAGCATCATCCTAATAGGAAGGGATGCTAGGATTGTTAATTTTCTTCTTTTAATTGTGGCAAGGAAGGGTAGCTTACCAAGAGAGAAGCTGCTGGGTTTAGACACAACGAGGCAATGAAGTTTAGGAAATGCAGACTCCCAATCTGGACGTTCGTTTTTTTCTTCCATCTAGTGCCTGCCACCCAGGCCACTAATCTTTCAGGGCCTTGATTTCTGTACAATAAACTGGATCCTTCTAGTAGCCACCCCTATCCTATTTTTTTTTCCCCCATAGGAATGCAGCAAGTAATTATATATAGCCCTTTAAACATAGAAACCATGGGCTTAGTCCATATTTTATGATAGTATCACCAATTTCTTTAAAAAAAAAAATCTCAAAGTAAAATTCATTGCCATTTTCTTTGGCTAATAATTATAATATTTTTAAAACACTTCTGTAAGCAGGAAGCTACCCCATCGAGGCCATTTCATGTTAGTTTACTGTATACATTTTTTTCTAACTAGAAATAAAAGAATATCTTGGGATAGGTGATAGTAGAGAGCTCAGCGTTCCCCTTCTTACTCCCCACAAAAGCTTGCATTTATAGAAGGGCCACAGACCCACCAGATATCCAAAGAATACCAAAAGAAGATGAGAAAGGTGGCCGCACAGAATGACCCGGGTAAGTGGCAGAGACCAGGGTGGCCGGATGGGTGTAGACGCTCAACCAGTTTGCTCAGAGCTGCACCCTGAGAGAGCAGTGGGGTGTGGCAGCAACAGCCCTGATCTAGGGTCAAAGATTAAACAGCTGTGTTACCTTGGACTACTTACTTAACTTCTCTGAACTTTGCTTTCCTTAACTGATAGAAATATAGACTTTGTAGACAGAAAAACTAAGGTTCAACTCTATCTCTGCCACCAACCAGTTATGGGCAGATTACTTACTCATTTCAAGCCTCAGATTCCCCAACTGTAAGGTTTCAAGGTCATATAGTTACTGCATCCAACCAAAAGTCTAGTTGTACAGTGAATGATCAATCAATGCTATTACTCTTATTGTTCAAGGTGATGGCTATATCTAAGTCTCCTTCCGGCCCTATCTAAAGAACAATATCCTAATTTGTCCATCTCCTGCACTAGATTATAAGCTACATAAGAACCTTCTGTTCACCCCTCTATATTCGGATCTTTACAAACTACCTGGCATACAGTAGGTACTCATTAAAAACCTGCAGAATAAATGAATGAACTCTATTGCATTAAAAGGCAACTGTTTTCTTAATCTAGCTTAATCACATAAGTTCATGCCTGAAAGCACGGAATGAATCTTCTATTCATTCATGGTGCAAATCCTATTGCACCATGTCCCAAGCCGGGCAGAGAGTGAGATCATTGAGCACTACGTGTTAAAAGGAAACTTAGGACTCAACCCTCCTTCTCAAGCCTGGAGAGGAGAAATGAATTGCTTGAGCCACAATTCTTCCAAGGCAGGACCAGCTGGTTGTGCTGCAGAATGGAAGGGGTGGGGGTACCTACCTTAACAGCGTAGGTGCTGCCGGGGTCCTCAGAGCAGGTGGCACAGTAATAAATGGCATCTCCCGAGTCACAACAGGGCTTGTTGCAGGTCAGCTTGAAGAGCGACCAGTTATTCTCATTGAAGTGCAGTTCCTTTTTCTGGCCACCCATGAAGAGGTCCTCACACTTGGCCACGAGGCGGACCAGGGACTGGGCGTAGAGTCCCACCAGCTTGGTGTAGGTACCCTCCTTGCTGCTAATGCTGCTCAGGAGGCTGTGGAGCTGGAGCTGGGTGCTGCTGGTGGAGGCCTGGCTGGCCACGCTCAGCTGGGAGGAGGAGGCCGAGGGGACCCCTCTGTACTGGAGGCTGGGGCTCCCGCTGCCGCTTCTGCTGCCTGGCAGTCCTGGTGTTGGAACCCAGTGGCCAATGCCTTTGAAGGTTTTCTCCAGAGGCTCGGAAGAGGAGAAGATATGATGGTGGCGGTTCCCGGGGCTCGAGGAAAAGCTGAAGTGGGACTCCTCACGAGCGCAGACGTTGGTTTCCGAGTGGCTGAGGTTCAGCTTGGGACTTGCTGTTCTCGGCTTGGGGCAGCCCTGGGGCCAGAAGAAGCCATCTGGCGAAGAGGCCGCCCGGCTCACTAACTTCTTCTGGGGGAGAGGCGGGGGCTGCACGGGGCCGCTGGGGGACACATCCTCAGTGGAGCCTGAAGGGAATGGAACAGGAGCAAAGAGCTTCTTTCCACTATTGGTGGGTGAGTGAGTCGGCTCAGATGATGGTCCTGAAAAGGAGAAAACAGGAACAATAAGGCTGAAGGCCTAAGCTACTCAGTGCCAGGGCCTTAAGGGCTTGCATTTATGTATGTATGTATGTATGTACGTACGTACGTACGTACATATTTATGTATGTCAAAATAATTTATTTTTATTTATCTCTTGAGGAGACAATAGATGCACAATGAAAAAAAATTTAATGTGTGCAGTGCCAACAAAGTCTTCCTCCTACCCTGGCTCTCAGCATGAGCCCGCTCATTGGAGGAAACTACCACAGCCATTGCTCATGCACCCTCTGGAGGTATGCTGAAGAACCCACAAATGCACACGCACACATTTACACAAAGGAGAACGAACTCGCCCACTGTTCGCAATATTGCTTGTCTTTACTTGATGCTACATCTTGGAGATATTTCGCAGCAAATGTACTCATCTATCTAGTTCTTTTAAATAGCTATCTCATATCATCATGTGCAAAAATCATCTATTTAGCCAGTCCTCTTTTGATAGACATTTAGGTTGCTTCTAACATTTTGCAAACAATGCTGCCACAATAACCACAAACATGAACATGTGTGGTTTGGCTGGATTTTTTTACGGTAAATTGTACCCTTTATAAATTACCTTCTATAAACCTGACTTTTTAAAAGAGGTACAATTTACCTACAATTCCCCCGTTTTAGTATATAGTTCTATGAGTTTTGGCAAACACTTTAGTGGCTTGGGGGGCAGGGCTGGCCCACAGACATTCTGGAAGGCAGAGGGATGTGACTTTACTAAAGAAACAGATCGTAAGGAAAAGAGAGTCTCTGTTGGGCCCTGCAGTCCCAGGGTAGTGCCCACGGACACCGAATCTCATGGCGGAAGGTTTCACATGGCCACAGGTCTCCATAGATAATGGGGACATTATCTGGGAAGCATCCTAGATGGTGAGATGAAGGGCTAATCTACACGGGGTGAAGACTGCACTTTATTCTTTGTATCGATGTATAAAATTGAAGTTTCACAATGAAATAAGAGTTCAGGTAAAAAAAAAATATGTAAGAAAAAGCTAGGGACATTGGAAACAGGAAAGGGCAAATTGAAATGATACTCATTTCTTTCATTCTAAGCACTAACTGGAAGATGTATGCACTATTTTAATAACAGCTTTCAAAGGGATGAAAGAAAACAGTGACTGTATTCATAGGTTGTAAAATGCATCCTATAATCCTGAAGGTTAAAATGTGAAAGAAATATGGGTCTTAGATGCAAGGGAATAGGTGCTTATGATGTGCACCCCTCATTTAGTTCATTGTGTCGCATCACATTAAGGGCAGGGCATGTGGTGCCTGTAACCCTCCCCATCTTAGCAGAATGGCTGGAATGAAAGAGATGCAACAAGCACATGAGACCTAGGCAGGTGGTGAAAGGCCCCAAAGGAAGCAAATTGTCTGTTAATTTTGTGTCAGCTCACTCAGATGCACATGACCTTTCCAGGGCTGCTCCTGAATATGCCCACACTGAGTCCCTCTCTGCTTTCTCCAACCAAGGTAGGGGACAGAATAGACCCATAAGGACAAGCACTGGCACCAAGCTCCTCAGATCAACAGTGGGTCTCCTCCCTTGGGATGCTCCAAGGGAGAGGGGACCCTCTCGGGAGCAAGGTGAATGGCCCCGTCCGCAGAACTCACCTTGCCTTGGGCAGGGCAAGAACTGACATCCGGGCCCTCGCCTCACTGACACCCAGACACACATCGACAGTGCATGGGAGCAGGACGCCTCTTGCCCAGTACAACCTCCAGTGCAAAGCTCACAGGACGACAAAGTTGGTGCACACAGCTTGTTGAACACAAGAGCTGGGAACCAATAGGTTCCTCCAAAGAGAAGCCCTGCGCAGCAGAGTGAGGCCATCGGGCCCCACGTTAACACCTTTCCTTGCTCCTCAGTCCCAGACCCAGGAAGAAGCAGGATGCTTTTCCTTGCGTGCTCCCATGATGCTCCACATGCTCCCACATAGCATAGGTGGTCACCCAGTGGTTTATCAAGATTGTAAGAAGTTTTCCTTCCCAACTCATTCTGCTAGTTAATGATAGGCAGGGCGCCTGCCAGCAAGTCTGAATGAGTGATTTATATCCTTTCCAGGATGCCCAGGTTAATTATAAAGCAAGCAGCAGTGGTGCAGCCAGGACTAGTCAGCTTCACACACCCATGTATTCTCCCCCGAATAGTCACAATGGTGGCACACAAGAAACAGCCAGCCAGAGGAGGTGAGATCCTGATTGCAGCTGACCTCAGCAGGCTCTGAAATCCTGAAGTCCATAGGTCCCCCACCCATGCTCCCCAGAAAGAAGCTTTTCTCCTCCCAAGGGCTGGTCCAAAATGGGGACAGAAGGCTAGGGCAGTGACTCACTTCCTCCCCGCCTTCCTCCTAGCAGCACAGGCCGAGAGAGGAGGAGGATCACTTACGAGCTCCTAGGCTACAAAAAGGAGGAGGAGCAAGAACGCTTATGCATGGGGATCTCAAAGGACACTAAGCCTCAGCCAGCAGTCCCCCAGGTGATGAGCAAAAGGGCTGCCAGGCAGAACCATGTCCATTTCCTGGCCTTTCTGCACTCTGGATAGGGAGGCCCGCCCCATTGAGCTGTCAGATTCTCAATTAATCATCAATATGTAGAAGAAGGGGGATGAAGGGAGGAAGTGAAGTGTGATGAGAATCCCTGGTCAATGTTTTAGTCAGGAGCTCCAGCGACAGGGACCAGCCAGCCTATGGTCAGGACTTCTGGTCCCCAGTCCAGTGGCTGGGGAGGTTCTGACAAATCAATTCCTTGGCTAGTCCCCTCTGTAAATCTTGTGCTTATTTCCCAATCTTTACTGGTTTGTTCTCCTTGCCTTCCTTGTAGGGCTCTCCTTGATGCTTCCCACACGTCCCTTTCTGCTTCTGCTCTGAGCTGAGGGGTGGACAGCAGGATGAACGCGTAACTAGCTGCTGACCTCCTCAGGCTGAGTTTCCATACTTAAAACTGCCCAGATGGCATCACTACGAATAGTCCAGCATTAATAGCCTATAATTTCAGCTACTCTCTTCATTTTCAACCTCTCCTAACAGGCATTTTGTCTCAAAGCGGCCCCTGAAATAAAATACCTCTAGGCAGATGGTTATCTTGCTTCAACCCTTCCTCTCTCTATTTCTAGTTCCCACAGCTGTCAATGGTGAACTTCTCAATCTGCAAGGATAGCAAGGATCCTTTAAAAAAATAATTTGTACACTCTTTTCCATAAATTACTAAAGAGAATCAAGAGGTTCTGCTTTAGTACAAAAAAAATAACTCGTGTTGAGGCAGTGAGAGAAAAGGACTTCCTCCCTTGCCCTCTGTGAGTTCTCTGGCCTTCCTGGGCACTGTGAGGACGGTGGGAGTCGGTGGCTTTGCTCAGACCTATATCTCATAACCACTTAGGCAAGGGGGACCGGGTATTAGGAGGCATGGCCTCAAGGATGAGCAGGTGGGCTGGTTCATTTTCTTTTATTTCTTACATACCATGTGCTTGTCACTCAACAACCCCTGCATAAAGCACGTACTAATCAGCTGATCGCACTGCAGAAGAACGCTCTCCAACCACACTTCTCTCCAGTGGACATGAAGGACTGACCTTATAGGAACCTCACCCAGTGAAATGTGGCTCATTGAAATGCGCACTTTATCTGTACAAGGTAGCATTATGTAGGCATATTGTAGTTTTTGTATTTGAAATATATATATATATTTCAAATATATATATATTACATACATATAACCTAGTTCTGTAACAGGTACATCACCTTCCAACCTGAGGCACCCTTCTGAACTTATGGGTCCTTGCAGCTGTTCTCCATATGTGGAATCAGAGCTGGTGAAAGACCATAATTCACTCTGATAGCCCCCAGCCACCTCAGGACCGTATCTCAGCTGTTGATATTTTTAGGGCTACCCTAAAATAGATGCCAACATGTGGCCTTTCTCAATGAAACTGAGTTCTCCACCACGAGACAAGCAGCAGCTATCTTCTATGGCATCAGGGGCACCCGTAAGGACCCACTCTGACTCTGTCATTTCCTTGACTCTTACGAGAGGAAACTCCTCCTAAACACGGCTGTAGGCAACATGGCAGCTCAACTGTGACTATTTGTAGCAGCTGCCACACTCTGCATTTAGAAGAGCCGAAAAGAAGAGGGAACACATATGTCTTGACACCTAAAATAGTTTCAGAATTCACAGGCAAACCACTGGTTCAGAAAATTGTGCCTAAAAACATCCTGAAAAACTTTGGCCAACAGCCCACGTTCTCAGGACTCAGCTCCAAAGGCATATGAGACGAATTCAAATACAGCCATACCTCGGAGAGATCGCAGGTTGGGCTTCAGACCACCGCAATATAGTGACTATCAAAATAAAGCGAGTCGTCATCTTTCGGCTGATGGAGGATCTTGCCTTCGATTTGTAAAAAAATGCAACATTTCTGAAGTGCAATAAAGAGAAGTGCAGTAAAGCAAGGCGTGCCGCCCGTGCGTCCTGGTTTTATGCTGGCGTTAGATCACTCCATTTCCAAATTCTGGCTTACACTGAGGGTATAAAAGGGGTGAGAGTGGAAAATACTTTTCTGGGCAGTTTGCCTATATCATAGTTACATCTTTGTAGGGTTTTGTTTGTTTGTTTTTGTTTTTAATGACTTTGCATGCTAATTGGGCCAGAGAGCTCTACATTCCATTTCCTAAGTGTTCCTCTCAATTTTCAAATCAGCATGGAAAGCCAGTGGCCAGCTACGGTGTACTCCTCTGCATCTCTCTAGTGGTGTGCTTCAGGGAAGAGAAAGTGTTTCTAGTGGGAAACTACGCATCACATATGGCACACTGGGTGGGATCTTAAAAGGACCCAAGGGGAAAGTATACCAGTTTGGTGCCTTTATATTTCGAAAGCAAAGAAGAGCAATCAGGATTTCAATGGTCAGGGAAAAAAGCTTAACCCCTATGTAGAAATGCAGGGCAAAAATT